TAACATTGTACTGTAATCTAATATAAATGATAGTACTGTCGACTGGGTTATGCAGTTCGACATTCTCAACACCTCTTGGTCTCCTCCTCTCTTCTACTACTTTGGCTACAACATTTCAGCTTACAACAGTATTACTCCTGTATATATTGACTTAAGAACAGAGACGAAAACAGAGTGAGAAGAGGGGAAAAGACTAAAATAACCCTGGAACAAACTGTATTTTAACAAATGGAGTCCTAGTTTTGGCTAAAACATTTAACAATTTAATTCAGGTTGTCATATGTTAGGTTAGATGTGCCTTTCTTGATTACCTTAGGTTCTTGTAAACCTTCTTTAACTGATGCTTTAGTAGCCTGCAGAATATGATTAGTTAGTAATTTTGTTCCCTTATTTCTTTTATGATTGGAGTAGAATGTCTTTGTCATTATGTAACATTTTCATGTTTTGGTCTACTTTTTTTATACAGTTCTAACTAGAGGGGAAATTTGTGCCAGGAGAAATCATTTTACCACACTATAGGGCTGTGTTCTGTGGGATTTCTTTGTCTTCTGTTGCTTCATCTGCCTATGGACTTCTCATTGGAAGAAGGTGAGTTTGTCATCATTCCAATTGTTTGTACATTTTCCAGATTACTCTGTCTCCCTTTTAAATATGATCGTAAGGTTAAATCTGTCAACTTCTGTTACAGAATCTCTTCTTCTTTAGGGACTTCTCTCCCTTTGACAATGCCGTGGTTGTCTTTCACCTGTAGTGAATATTGGCGACTATGCCGTGACTCAGTAATTACATGCATTGCAGATCATTCTTCTGACAGCTGCTAATCTACGCATTACCGTGTACAACTTTTTTCAAAATCAATTCTTTGTTGCAACTTGGTTCTCATTGTTTAATATCATTTTAACCGAGGAATGAGTCTATTCTCATACATTAAGGGGAATGAAGTAACTGGTGGTTCACTCAGCAAAAATTTCTAGCAATCAGAGATAAAATGGTCCTTGCTTCCTATTTGGTATGTGTGTTTTTTCCTAGCCTACTAAAATCCTGTTTTGAACATTTGTTTCATGTTCTGATAATTGGATACCTGTACAAGGATATTGTATTATGTCAGATACTTCAATTTTTATTGTTAATTTCATTTCTCAAACCATGTGCAGCCATGTGCTTGCTGCATCTGGGAAGCATAGATTCATGTAGTGAGGCCTTTTTGTTTTGGTTAGAGGAATTCCTAGCTGTCCAAAGGACACTTTTGAATGCTGGCCAGTTCTAAATGGGATCAAAAGGGCAAAAATAGCTTGGTCTGTTTCTCCTTTTGCGTTTTGTTGGGAGATTTGGAAGGAGAGAAACAGAAGGCTCTTCCAAGGCAAGGCAAAATTTAAGGAGTTATGCTCAACTATAGGGAGAATAATTTTGGATTGGATTTTAGTTTAATCCTTCTGAATTTTCTGGGATTATTAGAGAGTCTTTAGGTGCTGTCTTTTGGGATTGTTTGGATTCAGGTTAAAGTTCTTGATGTGATTCTTGTTTTTCTTGTATTTTCTTTTGTTGAATGATTACTTGTCACCTCTTCTTATTTGTAACTTTTGTTTAAGATTGATGAAATTTCTTTTTATTTATTTTCAAAAAAAAAGGTTCATGTGTGCTTATGTTAGGCATTGGCTTTAGGATCAAATATCTAGTTGAATTCAATAGGTTGTTTGATGAGTAGAAGATTCACAAGAGTTGCTTCTTTTGATATTAAAAACACACTTTTCTATTTTTTATTTTCATTTTTTGATTATTATAAACTGTATGTCACACATTAGTCTTTGAATAGGATACCTCAGAAAAACTTGTATTGGATTAGGGAACGATGATAAGGCTTTGGATAAATAAGAAGAAGACTTTATAACAAGTTCAACCCCTGCGAGGTTTCTAAGTCTCTAAGCCCTTTCCTAAAGCCAAAATTCCAAGGGAGCCTGTTATATGAGGAGACAAAGAGAGTAATAGGTTTTAACTCTATAGATGAATATTGAAAATAGGGCTGGAAAGAAATATTTCAAGGCTGTATCCCTCCGCAATATCTTTCCAGAATCTAGTCTTGTTTCTAGAAAAGACATACCTAACAAGTTGCAAAAATAGAGGAAATAGGCTGGATATGGCTTTCCAAGGCGATGATGACAAAGATGCTCAACATAATAACCCTGCATCCCATCCATTAACGAATACTTTACAAATGCTACTTACCATATTATGCAATAGCTTATCTGTATCCATTGTAAATCTCCATAACCACTTCCCAAGAAGAGCAGAGTTTCTATTTACTAGGTTTCCTAATCCCTATCCTACATCCTCCTTAGGGGTGAGCAAAAAAACTGAAAAACCGAATCGACCGAAAAAACTGACTGAAACCGAACTGAAAAATTGGTTAACCAGACCAATCGGTTCGGTTTCAGTTTGGTGTTTTTAAAAAACTGAAGGTACTGGTTCGTTTTCGGTTAACCAATATAGAAAACCGGCGGTTAACTGAACCGACTGGTATGCATATATTTCTATATATTTATGTATATTATATATTATATATATTTTAATATTTTTTATATATTATAAATTAATAAATATGCATTATATATAAATATATATTTTCATAATATATGATATATTATTTATTAATTAAAATATAATATTTTATATATATTTATAATATTTTATTATTTATATATATTTTTATAATATATATTATAAAAATTAAAAAATAGAAAAACCGACGAATCGAACCGGTCAACCGGTTAATCGACTGGTTTAGGTTCGGTTTTGGTTACTGGTTTTCCAAAAWCCGGTAGTACCGGTTCGGTCCAAGAAAAAGCCTCACGGTTCAGTTAACCGAACCGTGAGCACCCCTAATTCCTCCTTACTTTTACGAAACTTTCTCATTTGATCAAGTGACTCCTCTGGTTCCCCTATGAAATTCCTCATTACCTTTTCAAGTCTTCTTGCCACCATTAGAGGAATTTTAAAGATTGAGAATTAATACATGGGGAAATTAGCTAAAATTGAATTTATTAGTGATTCTGTTTCCTAGTAAATTATAATTTCTCTTCCAAGTGGCTAATTTTTTGAGAATCTGTTGAAAACAGGTCCAAAAACTATTAGATCTTGGGCTTCCTCTCAGATTCTGACATATTAGCCACTRGTTTACTAAACACTCCAAGATTCTGACACATCTTTCTACCTCCTCTCTAATGTTTATACTTCAATATAGCTTTTATTTAGTTCATCCTATTTTATTCTATTTTCTTGACAGAAATGCAGATTTTTCTCTTCTTCTTGATCTAGGGCATCCTATTCCGATTGATGTTGCATCTCAACTTGATTTTTGAGAATATATTTAATTATCACCAAACTCACTTTTGTCCATGCTACTTGATTTTTTTTCATCAGCAGAGAAAATTGTAATAAGGTAAAAAAAATTCTTTGGTTAAAATAAAAAAACCAGGATAGGCATCCAAGGAAAAAAAACAAACATATAAAGAGAAGTGAGTCTGACAGCCAATCCCACAAGAGGCATACAAGATGTACAAAAGAAACCCCTAACCTGGATAATCAGAACTTCACTCCCTCTGAACCCTTTTTACCATGCCTATCAGGTATTGGAAAATCTTGGAATCCATTTGATTTTTCTATAGTCATAGAAGTTCTTTAACTTTTCATAAGTAGCTCAGATCCATGACAGTGTTAAAGGTGCTTTCAGATATTATATATCCATGGTCATATTCAAACAAATAGAACATCTTTTTTTCCATTTGCAAGAACCTATTATTAGTTCTCTAACCACCCCTCTAGTAGTTTTGTCTGGTTGATTAGATTTCCTAGTCATTCTTTGATTGACTTTCATTATTACCTTACTTGAGGTATTTTAGTTGCAATTGTTCTGCATTTAGTTGTGAATCAGCTTCAAGTGGACTTACAAATCTGCCTTGCCTTTACCAGAAATGGCAAACGAAAACTTCACCAAATTGTTGGATGATAATAAACTCAAGGGCCCTAATTATGCTAACTGGTTCCGAAACCTTATGCTGGTTCTAACGTCCGAGAAATTGGACAAAATTGATAAGAACCCTGCTCTGGATCGTCCGGGTGACGGGGCTTCTGAGGCCCGAAGAGGAGAGTATCAAGAATGGGAAGAGAAAAACTCTCTTGCCCAGTGTTATATTATAGCCTCTTTGGATAATTCGATAYAGCGACAATTCGATAAGATCGAAGTGTCCAAGGATATATTGGATAGTCCGAAGACTATGTATGAAGAGCAGAATCGTTCTACTCGACAAAAGGTCTTAAAATTGTTTATGACCGTGCAGATGACCGAGAGCCAACAGATTTATGACCATTATCTAAAGATGATGGGTTATATTAATGAACTGGAGGCTCTCAGGTCAGGGCTACATCATGACACCAAAATTGATGCTGTYGTCAATTCCCTACCTTTGTCCTTCAATCAGTTTATCATGAATTACAACATGAATAAGCTAAACGTTAGCCTTCAAGAATTCTTTTCCATGCTTGTTGAAGGTGGCAAATTTGGCAAGAAAAAGTGGAAGGCTAAAAGGAAGGTTCAAAAGAAGGGTAGCAAAACTAAAAAGCAGAAGAAAGATAAGCACCAGATGCCTCACTTTTGCAAACAGACCGACCACTGGAAGAGGAATTGTCCTCAATATCTGGAGACTAAGAAGCAAGGTAATTTCGAATCTTTTATCATAGAGACCAATTTGTTGGTCATTCCTTCTTCCTGGTGTATTGACTCCTGGGCTTCAACTCATGCATGTAACTCAATGCAGGGGTTCAAGATAAGCAGAAGAYTGAGTGACGGAGAAGTGACGCTCTACTTGGGGACTTCTGCAACAGTTGCAGCAACAACCATAGGATCTGTAGAACTAGTTTTCAGAGAAGGAACAATTGTACTTAAAGGTTGTATTTTCGTACCTAATTTAAGAAGAAATTTGATTTCTGTCTCAAAATTGTGCATGGATGGCTATTCTATCTTATTTAGTAATGTGATTACTATTAAACGGAATAACAAATTCCTCGCATATGGAGAACTTGAAAACGGTCTCTATGTTCTCCATTCTTCTCTGGAAACAAACATTACCGAAACTACGTCGGAAATAATCCCCAAGAAGAGGACTCGTGATACAGTTAATCCCACGTGCCTGTAGCATTACCGACTTGGCCACATTAATATAGATCGTATTACAAGGTTGGTAAAGGATGGTCCTTTGGATTTTCTAACTGTAGAAGATCTTCCAACTTGTGAACCTTGCCTTCAGGGTAAGATGACGAAGCGACCATTTACCAGTAAGCCTTCAGGGCCACATACTATTAGATCTTGGGCCACATACATACTGATGTATGTGGCCCTCTAAATGTTAGGACACATAACCAACACGTTTATTTCATAACATTTACCGATGATTACTCACGGTATGGTTACGTGTACCTAATGAGACATAAGTTTGAATCTTTTGAAAAGTTCAAAGAATTCAGATAAGAAGTCGAGAAACAAATAGGGAGAGAAATTAAGACCCTTTGATCAGATCGAGGTGGCGAGTATTTCTCTGACGAATTCAGGGACTACTTAAAGGACAATGGGATAGTATCAGAACTAACTCCTTCTGCTACACCACAATTAAACGGTGTGTYAGAAAAGAGAAATCGGACTCTATTAGATATGGTTCGATCACTTCTCGTCCACTCAGAGTTACCCACATCCTTTTGGGGTTTCGCATTAGAGACTGCGATTTACGTGCTGAACCGGGTTCCAACCAAATCCGTTCCAAAAACTCCATATGAGCTATGGGCTAGTAAGAAACCAAGTGTGAGACACTTGAAAATTTAGGGTTGTTCGGCACATCTTAAAAGAACTAGTGCTGACAAATTGGAATCCAAGACCAGCCGTTGCCTATTTGTAGGTTACCCCAAAGGCTCTATAGGTTACTTATTCTGTGATCCAAAAGAACAATAGGTGTTTTGCAGTCGAAATGCCCACTTCCAAGAAGAAAATTACATTCTGGATAATCATCATCAGGAAGTTGTTCTTGATGAGGAGAGCCCAGGGGTAGTGGGAGATGTCCCACCAGCTCTAGAAAATAACCAACCTAGAAGATCTACCCGGGTTTCCAGGTCTCCAGTTCGTTACGACTTTGACCAAGAAAGTTACTTGGTGGAAGCCATGACCAGTGAGCCGTGACTTATTCGGAAGCTATGTTGGACATAGATTCTTTGAAGTGGGTAGATGTCATGAGAGCTGAGATGGACTTAATGTAGACTAATGGAGTCTGGACTCTAGTAGATCCACCCCCTGGGGTAAAGGCAATTGGTTGCAAATGGATCTATAAGAGGAAGAAGGGCCCCGTCGGTAAAGTTGAGACCTACAAGGCTCGTCTTGTGGCGAAAGGGTACACTCAGAAAAAAGGGAATCAGTTATGAGGAAACCTTTTTGCCCGTGGCCACGCTTAAATCCATTAGGATCCTGGTAGTTGTAGCAGCGTACCATGACTACGAGATTTGGAAAATGGATGTCAAAAG